CAAATATCTACAAGATGAATGGGGAAAATAGGCACTGACAAGTCTCCATATGAGGCGATGACGTAGAAAACCGTATGGATCTTAGACCTGTGGCGATGACTAGTTGAACAATCAGTACTACTGATAAAGTAGACCTCTGCGTATAAAGGTGGCAAACACCAAAAGCAGGGCCAAAAGGGCTAGATGATACTGAGACTTACTATAGACTATGGCAAAATTAGACTTAAGACTTACATTTCGGTTTTTCAAGCCGAATTGGCTGTTATAATATTTGCTCTTAAATGGATTGATAAAAATATGACTGTAAAAACATGTATTAATATATATACAGAATCATTATCTTGTTTGGAAGCACTGTCAAATGCTGATAACACTAATATTTGCGGCTCACATATACAAGATCTTCTCGTAAAAATTGACTTCACTTTCAAAGAGAGCCAACATACTGGCTAAAGCGGCACCTATGGGTAATCCTAAAGATGTGTTTGGTATTCAGGCATCAAAAATAATTGTTATTGGTAAAATCAAGGATTTTTATTACAATTGCTGGAAAGAGAAATGGAACAAATCGGGAAAAAAGGAAAATTATTTTATTGCACTTTGAAGTTTCTTAAATATTAGAATGATATGTGATTTTGGACTGGACACACAAATAATTACTGGACACGAACGCTTCCCGGCGTAGCTTAAAAGCTTTAATTTGCAAAATAATACTCTTTGTGGATTTTGTAGTGCTGAAGGCAATGCAAAATATGTTAGGGAAAAACATGGTAACATAGGGGAATTCTATTGCCGCAGGAAAGAGCTCAGATTTGAAAGGGATTTGATGAACTTTATAAATGGTAACAGAACATTACTGGGAATTTTGGTTTGATGTTTTTAACTGCAATTTTGTTTTAATCTGTGTTGGATGTGCTGCGTTAACTATGAGGCCAATTATTATCGGCCAGGGGGGTTGCAGCACATTCGTATATTACATTATTTACTGAGAATTGCTGTATACCATATCTTTGCTTATAGCATGATCTTGCTTAAATGTTTGATAAACGAAATAATCACACATTTTAAACTTGCTACACTTTGCTAACGGCATGTATTATTTTGTTACGTACAGAAGTTTTTAGTGGCGTAAGAGCAATAACTGCACTGGCGATATGGCTTAATTTTATTCTTCTTCAGTCCACTCACAGGAGTGCAAGATTGGCTTTTCCTAAACTATTAAAAAAATCACAATAATTTTCTTTTTCAGACGCGTTAACTCAAATAATTCATATGATGTTTTTTTTTTTTTTCAAACTCTTTACTACAATAAAATCATTCAAATAAAAATCACACATATTTTTTTATAATATTCCACCACAAGATATCTCTCTCCATAAAAACAACTTTGCCTCTCAAGGAGAAGTCCTTGTATCATGATTTCATTATTCCAATAGATAGTGATCTTTCAATATAATAGTAGTTCTTAGGTGACCTTATACTTTCCAAAAATAATAATAAATAAATAAATAAATAAATAAATCCCTTTTATACCTACCCTCCAATTAGTTTTATAAAAAATATGTGTATCTGTAAATAAGCGATTGCAACTGAATATTCCCAGTCTTTCATCTTCTATTCTTTCAGTAGATCAGTTTTTCCATTTATGGAATCTGTTAATTCCGCACAGCTAAAATCTTTGAGACATTTTAACAGTATCTGAATACTTACTAACACTTAAATTTTTTATTAGGTTTAACCTGTTATCAGGACCCTCCATTGACAGAGTGGATAAGACCTCTGAATACTGGAAGTTTAGCCCGAATTCGATCTCAGGCGAATAGGCTGGCTGTGGTTGGTTTTAGTGGTTCTTCCCATGTGTAACGTGAATGCGAACCAGTTTTCCTTAGAAAGATCTCCCCGAAGCCCTTCTTTTATTTACTTTGAGTACGAATGCATGTAGGGAAAAAAATCTGAGTATTTGAGACCCATTAGAAATGTGTTTTAAAATGAAGTTTTAGTAATGAAAAGCGGTTTGAAATCTGAAACGGTTCAGAGAAAGGAAACATGTATTCGGAAAACTTCAATCAACTTGGTTTAAGGCTTCAAAAACACTTTTCCCTTGACAAGCTCTGTTTGAAGCGTTAAATAGCGGAGACAAATAAACAATTTTTTTTTTGGTATTGTTTTGTTATGTATCATGTTCTGTATTTTTAAAAAATTTTCTTTTTTCGTTTTAATTTTCATTTAACGATTGTATTTTTGGAAGCTTCTTTAATTTGCATTTTTTCAGTCTGGTAACTTTAACCCGATGGAGAGAAAAAGTTTTCATTCATTTTTGTTCCGACCTTTACTTTTGAATTTATATATATATATATATATGTATGAATGTGTGTGTGTGTGTGTGTGTGTGTGTAAGCATTTAAAAAGCGAACAAGTATTTCTAGAATAGATTTGTGTGCCCACAAATGTTTTATTGCCCCATCAGTATCTGAAATTCCTGCTTCCATTCGTGACTTTGATTCTAAGTAGATATCCACGCTTCTTGAATCGTTCAAACCATCCAACACTAGTTTTAAATGCACTCTCCGTTTTTGTGATGCCTGCCTTCTCTTCAAAGTTTTTATATATAAACACCTAGCCTTCTCTTGGGTGGTCAAAAAACTTAACAATAACCGCTTCTGTGTCATATCGTCGCTCTAGCGAGATTCCCGATACATACGTTTCAGTTTAAATGTTGAGACTTTTGTGCGGTTATGTAAAGCCTACGAATTTACGTAAGTCGCGTTATACGGAAGTCGAGGGATTACTGTATGGACTAAAACTCTAATATCTGATTTTATCCAGATCTCTGATGCTAAAAAGTTCGTGCAGTTCGCTTTATTGCTACATTCAGTTTAGCAGTGGGTTAGAATTGAATCAATAACATCCTAAAACATGCTAGCATCAAGTAAAGAAACCTGCCCAGTCAAGAAACCTTCCATGAAAAAGATTCATTACGGACTATTTTCCTCCACATAAAAAGAATGGACTAATTTCAGACTCAACAAATTCCCATTTCCGAAGCATATATCCTTGCGCTTGATCATCAGATCGAGCCATCCAAATAAAAGTCCCACAAATGGGTTTCTGTAAACAATAATGTTCTCCAGACGCTTCGTAAGTATCTGTAAACAAATATGTTCTCCAGACGCTCCATAAATGAGCGACGAAAAGTGCAAACAATATCTTTTTAATGAGTCGAATGCTTTCGCCGTCACTTATTCCCATGTAGTGGTTAGGTGATTAGAAGAACAAAGAACTCTTGAGTCTAGACCGATGGGAATTCAATATGGCGGAAAGAGGACGGACGTTATGTGAATACGTCCATTGTTATTCATCGCCAAGGCAACGAATTTCCTGTGATAATTTCTCATTTCAAATTTCGTATTATCTAATTCAGATTTTAAAAAATGATATTAATCTAATATATTATCTAAACTAGGTTGATGCCATGATGCGTACTTATTTGCATGAGTGTATTGTGTTATACGCAGCTCTTCTATATATTTTTAAGAATTAATTCATAAAGTTTCACAAAGAAAACTCTTTAGTTTTCTACATTCTACGCTCCTTCTAACACTCTGTATCTCTCATTATTTTAATGAAACTTCGTGGACAAGAGCTGTTGGAAAGCTCGTTCATTCTTTTATTACAATTTTATTAATTTCCTTAATGTTGTCAAAATTATGTCTTTTAATATGAGATTTCTCACTAGGGAACAGAAAGAAGAGTGCAGGGTGCCAAAACGAGTGAATAAGGAATAATGATAAAAATAACTTTTTTAAAAACCAAAACCTTAACGATCATTACATTAGCAATAGAGATATATTACTGGCAACAAAGATATATTTACTGATCGAGCCTTTTCTGAAAAACCGCAACGATTTCTCTCCAAAATTGGGTCTATTGCTTCTGAGGAGACAGAAATTCCTTGTAAATTATTGCATATCGTTCAAAAAAACCATCAACATAGCTCTTTACTTAAAGCTTCTAAAAGGGAAGTGGCCCACCAGCGTCCGAACCGTAAAGTCGCTGAACACCGGTAGTTCGGTCGCGCTGGTTGCATGGGCATTTTTATGACTTTCCTCATGTGTAACGCGTATACGGGCCAGTTTCCCTTAAAAGTCTGGTATCAAAGAGCCCGGGTTCGAATCCCGGGTCAGACATGGATATTGGTAAATGTATAGTGTCCGTACGGCATGGGAGAACTTTAAATAAGCGATGAGCCGAACGTCCTCTTGTGTTGTTTGATGGAAGATAGAGGTCAGAGACCACCGAATCCCCTCCGGAGTGCTGACCCTCAAAACTGGGGTGGAAAAACAGAAGTCTAACTTCTCTTTGGAGTAGGCTCTGGAATCCATTCTTCCATGTAATATGGACACAACAATGTTTACTTACCTAGACGGAACCATTTGAGATAACTGCTAAATATACAGCAGATTTGAAATCCGTCCTCTTAAAGGACGTATTTTTTCTAATTGTTATGCTACTAAATGGTACAGGCAAAACTTATTACAGTTACTTAACTGTTAAGACTGCTGAAGGTATCGTATAATATATTTTTCTATAAGTTAACATAAGCAAATGAACAAAAACATCTTCGTACTAGTAGTTTGTCCTGTAGACAATTTCTCAAAGTAAAGGTTGACCACATAAAGTCTTCCGGGGAAATGTAAATATAAACTCTCCTATACGCAAGACAGCTACGCCTTAAACCTATAGGCTCTGCATGTTTTGCTATAATTAATTAATAAGAATAAATTTAATCTGTTATGAAAAGTAATATTTTGATCACTTTTTTAAGTCGCATGAAATATTATTTTGTTCAATATTTGATTTTATAATTTATAATCTGTAATATCTCATTCCAAATTGCCATGATTTCGGAATTCTCTATGTCCAAGCTAATAAAGTTGTTCTTGATAAATATGTCATCCTTACATCTGAGATCATTTCATATTTCTCCTTTCTGGTTCTAGGTGAGTTTTGGTAGTCCTGCAGCAGATGGACAACTCCAGAAGGGAGACATTATATTATGCATAAGAGATCAAGATGCCACTAAGATTTCACACCAGAAGGCAACGGATTTGATTGCCAAAGCTGGAAGCACTCTCAAACTAATCGTCGCTCGGTAAGTGAAAACATGTTTAATTTAGAAAATGCAAATTCATATGTATTCAGCATGCAGACTGAATTCCCAATTTTGCACCGTTAGATTTTCTTCAGAATTATCCTTAAATTACTCAGGATGTCGTATTCAGGGTCCATCCATCATATAAAAGTCAAATACAGTAAGACCCCGCTTAACGCTGTTTCGTTTAGCGCTGTTTCGGTTTAGCGCTCTTTTATTTCAACCCGGGGATTCCACGAAATCGCTCGCAGCATACGGGGATTCCCCGAAATATTATGCAGCGATAGGTTTCAAATACATATCCGAAAGAGTGTACTTGCATTTCTTGTTTGGTGCGGTATTGTACAGACATAGTTTGAAGGGGTAAATGTGGAAGATGTCGAAGAAATAATTCAAGAAGCAGCGGCTAGTCTTTCTAATGATGAGCTCAAGGAATTAACTGAACAAGAAGAAAACAAAAATGTTGACAGCAGTGATTCAGAATAAGAGCAAAAAGAACTTTCGATGGCGTTTGTAAAAAGGAGTTTGTCTACCATAACTGAATAATGGATCAATTCATTGAAAATGATCCGAATTTTGACAGGAGCTCAAAAGTAAGGCGTGGTGTTAGAGATACTCTATCCGTTTATGAAGAACTTTTAAGAGAACAACGCAAAAGAAAAAGGCAAACAACATTAGATGCTTTTGTCACAAAAAGGCAGAACACTGAAAACGCGGAAGGCTAACTAAATATGACTGACTGAGAATTTTATTGTTTTTTTTTAAGAATATTCGTTTTGTTATTTATATTTTGTTTTTATTTTTGCAAGAAATAATAATGTGGTATTAATTTGGGCTTTAAGAAATAAATGTTTGGTTTTATTTTTATTAAAAAACATACTTTTTAAATTTAATACCTAACCAATTTCCTAGCCATCTTCCCCTAACCCCAATATTTACATGTAAAGATAGCCTCGTTTAGCGCTGTTTCGCATTACGCTCTACTTTGATGGAACGTATCCCCCGCGTTAAGCGGGGTCTTACTGTACTCTCTACATAAATTGTAATTATTTCAAACTGTAATTTCTTTTTTTTCTTTTGGTACAAATAAGAAAGTTTTTACTAATTCAGAAGTTAAACAACAAAAATCAGCGTTATATTTTCGAAATTTTCACAGGACTAGATTCGATGGTTTTACCGAACCACCATCCTCAGCTGCAAAACCTTAAATGAACAAGATAGGAAATAATGAAGTTTTTATTATCCTAAATATTCATATGTAATTGTAATATGTCAAATTTCTCTAAAAAAATCAAAATCGTTTTTAATTTGTTTAATTTTCCCTTAAATGTTTACGGTATTATGCGAAAACAAATAATTAATGACACCTTCATTAATGCCTAACTGGTATATGCTATCATAGAGACAAGTTGTCAGCCAAATTATATCAATAGTAATATTTTGGAAAGAATCTTCGGGTTCTTTTACGTGAAATGATACAGCTACATTCAAAAAACTTAGTATCACACCTGTTGGCAGAAAAGTATGTTTTCCCGAATACAGGCACTGGGGCACATAAAAATAAGTAATTATGCTGCACTTTCTTTTTTCTCCTCCCCATCAATTTTTAGAAAAAAAAAACTTTGAATTTTTTTTTATTAATATGTATATAGTAATTAAAAACATATATAAAAAATTAAAAATCTGAAAGCTTTCAAATTTTATATTATGCCCGAAATGGCATTTTTTTTTTATTTGTACTCATAAACGTTTCGACAGCAGTTAATGCCCTTTGAGCTAAAAATATTTAAAAACAGCATATCTTTAGAACTTCTAGACAGTCTCGCTCATAATATTCGTCACGCGCTGCATTGCACGGGAAATAAAATAATTTACAATTACGCAAGGAACCAATAAACTATCGGCGACAAACACTTAAGCCGCATATATATAAGATTTGATTTTGTGTTTGTTTCTTTGTTTCGTCAAATATTGAAATTAATTTTTCAGATATATATTTTTTAGATATATATATTAGATATATATAGTTTCTCAGGTATATATATATATTTGGGATGAATATATAATAGTTTTCTAAAAAAACTAAAAATAATTTTTCTTTTTTTCAGCCCAAAGAGCGACTGGGCTATTAATTTCGTTTTCGTCGATTCACTATAAACGGCGAAACACTTTTCAAACTGCTGCCACCAAAAATTATCTCCCTGTGTTACATTTAAAGAAGCTAAATAATGAAGCATCTGTATAAATATATGTATCTTTCTCGTATTATGATAAAACAATGGTACCTAGAGCCATCAAATTTTGAATGACGTAATCCTACTGCGAATATGGGCATCTGGAAGCCCTAATTTGGAATTGTAATTGGTTTTTTTATCGATTTCATATTTTGTAACACTTTAACTAATTTTTCATGAACAAACTCAAAGGTTTCAAACTGAGTAATGGCAGCATTTTTTTCCGTTCCACTTTTCCACTAAATATTATCGCACTGTATTATATTTAAAGGAATTAAATAATGAAGAATCTGCATGAATGTATGCATATGTACTTCTCGCATTCTGAAAAAAACAACAGTACCTAGAGTCATCAAACTTTCAATGACCACCAAATATGGGCACCTGAAAACCGGAATTTGGAATTTGTTTTATTACTTATTTTATATTTTGTGAAACGTTAAAGAATTTTTGATTAACAAACTCAACTATTTCAAAGCGAGCAATGGCAACACTGTACGGAAAAAAAATTTTATCTCCAGCACGCAAGAACGTCTATTGGAAATTCAGAAGCTATGCTGTTTTTAAATATTTTTAGCCCAAAGGGGCATTAACCCAAATGCTCTCGAAACGTGTATGGGTGCATAAGTTTAAAAATGCCTCTTTGTGCGTAATATGCTTGTATCTTTACACCATTAGATAGCCAAAAAAATTTCAAAGTTCTTTTTACGGAATTTTAGCTTTTTCTTTTTTTTCCAAATATAGTTCTATTTTTTAGCTATCGTGTAAATGATAAAAATGATGGATTTTAAGCCAAAAACTGAATTCTTCATTTTTAGTAGCTCCATGATCTTTGATGATAAGATCGTATTGTTAAATTAAATAATAATTTGAGTGAATGAACTGTAAATTTTACAATACGATAAATTCAAATACTTTAACAAAAAATGACGCCACGCATATTTCGTTGTTATGTTGATTAGAAAGAATATTTTTCTTGCATTCAGAGGCAATGATTTTTTTTGGGGGGGAGGGAGGTACTTTTTTGCAATCTGTGAACCAAACGTATAAAGCAAAATATATTAAGAAAAAGTTTTAAATTACACGATTAAGTAAACATTTTAGCTACTGCTACTTTTTTGACTATATGTAATTTAAAAAAAAAAAAAAAAACTGAAAGGTTTCAGATTTTAAATTACGTCCAAATTGGCGTTTTTTAACGTTTTGTGTGTTACCTTTATTTATTAAATATCATGTTCTTTGCACTTAAACCATAAAATTCAGTTCTATAGCAATGTCGCAAAATAATTTTAAAATGAGCCTATCTTTAGAACTTCCGATACACAGTTCCGCGCGCTGGAGATAAAGAGGTCTTTTTTCACCCGTAGAGTGTTGCCATTGCTCGCTTAAAATCGTTGAGCATGTTACTCAAAAATTTTAGTTTTAGAAAATATGAAATCGATCATAAAACAATTTCCAAATTTCAAATTTGGTCTTCCACATGCCCATATTCGGTGGAGGATTATATTATTCAAAATTTGATGGCTCTAGGTACCGTTGTTTTATCATAACACGAGAAGTATACATATATTTATGCAGATTCTTCAATATTTAACTTCTTTAAATATAATTCCGGACTCTAACATTTGGTGGCAGCAGTTTGAAAAGTGAAACGGACATTTATTCAACGCAAAACGAAAACAATGGTCCTTCAGGGACAAAGCCCCTTGGACTAAAAATAAAATCGTGAAAAGAACTGTGTTAGGGCAGTGATAGAATTTCTAGGAAAAAGAGAAATAACGATATTTAGGAATGGCATATATAAGCATTAAAACATGCAATTCTTTTAAATTTCTCGTTGACAATTTTGACTTAAAATCCTTCATTGTTGGTAGCTCCGTGGCTTTATATTTAATCACAATGTAATCAAGATTTTTATGAAAACTAAATTATAATTCTTTGCATTTTAACTAAAATCGAGTATTTAATTATTAAATCCCTTTTTATTCTAAAATGTGTTATGAAGAAAGAATATCGGGTGTAGCTACGCCGAGAACCTAAAAAAGCTGAAATGTACTAATGGGCTGTAAAGAACGTGGGATGGGAACTGACATGAGAATGAAAAGAATTTGGAGCCTGACGTGAATGAATAGATTGTTAGGATTCATGGAAGGAAAAAAATGAATGAATAAATAAAGTTAGAAACTAGAAATGAATATACCTGCCAAGTTTGATAAAAATCAGAATTTAAAAACTGAGTTAAACTGGAAACTCTTTCCATTACTTTTGTGTCAGGAACAGCTGTTGTGTGTGTTATCATTGTAAAAATAGTTGGAACACATTTTTTATATTTGAGAACGTAGAAAAATATATATATATTGATTCTGATGAATAACTATTAACCCTTTGTTGCATACAAATAATCTAGAGAAGTTAAACGAAAATGTTTGTATTTTTCTACTTAAAATAACCTTAGTAATAATTAAAAAAATTAATTTTATTCAAATTTCGTTTTAAATAATTCCTACAGTTTGTTCACTATAGTGGACGGCATCCATACACGTACATGCATACAAATCTTTTCCCAACGATTTACGGTCATTACATTTGAAATCATTTCCTGCCTTGTTTGCAGTGATCATTACCATTTTCTAAATGGTAAATCTACAACTGACACGTACATACAGATCCTCCAAAATACCTTCATTTCGTAGATTGTGATTGAATTTATTTTGCTACGATTTTGTAACCTGTAACTGGTGGATTCAAATGTCAAATGTTCTAGAA